ATTCGGTGCATCTCCAACATTCGGAATCATTGCGGGCGCGAACATTGGTCCTTCGAGCCGGATACCTGAGGTGTTGGGGCCAGAGCTGCTGAGCAGAACGAGGACAGAACGAGAACAGAACGAGGACAGGACGAGAATCGAGACGAGATCGAGGAACGAGACGAGAGCCAGACAACCGCTCACGGAAGCTGCTGATCGCTGTAGTGCTGGACCGTCCGACTAAGCGAGCCTTCCACACATTCCTGTCTACGTCCGGTGAGTCGAGTTTCATTCATTCCTTAATTTGCGTCAAGTTTTAAAATGTCAGAGGCAGACAATCTCCGTAAACTCATAGAGGAGCGCGGTCATGTTAAGGGTGCGCTCACGAGGTTTAAGAAATTCTGGGATGAACAGGGCAGGATTGCAACAATCGAATCTCTTCAAGAGCGACTCATCAGAAATGTGCCGTTGATTGACAAATTCGACGCAATACAAGACCGCATTGAGGCACTTATAGTAGGGACGCAGGATGAAGACGCGCATAGACAGTTCAGGAATGTATTCGAGACTATATATTTTGAGGTCATTGGGGGGTTGCGGGCACACATACAGCGTGCACAAGCGCCGGCTTTGAATGTTAACACGCATCGCACGTTAAATCTTACGTCTGCATCTCCCACGGTTTCTGAGACTGCGAATACAGTTAGACTGCCAGCTATTCCAGTGCCCAATTTTCATGGATGTATTGGGGAGTGGGTCTATTTTCGTGACAGCTTCGAATCACTGGTAAACCGAAACGAAGCGTTGAGTGGTATGGACCGTTTCCATTATTTGAAGTCCGCGGTAAAAGGAGAAGCTGCTCGTGCTCTTAAGTCATTGCCCATGTCCGAGGATAACTACGATGCCGCATGGAAGCTTCTAAGCGATCGGTACGAGGACACTAACGAACTAATTGACTATCACGTGGGATCGGTTTTCGATTTATCGCCGATGGTGAAAGGTTCACCAGTGAGCCTTAGGCAATTGCTGGACGATTTCAGCAATCATTTACGATCGTTAAAATCACTGAAGGAACCGGTAGATTCATGGGACACGTTATTGGTTCATTTGTTAAGTACGAAGTTAGATGCGCGAACAAGCGAAGCATGGGAAAAACGGGTATCGGAGTTAGGGGAAAGGAAAAAGTTATCTGACTTGCGGAGTTTTCTTGAACAAAGATACAAGTTTATTGCAAAGGCAACGAGGGCAAACCAGGCAGGCTCAGGTTCACCGAACAGTAAATTCAGCGAACAGAAGCCGCGAACCCGGTCGGTAGCGTTGGTTAACGCCGAGACGGGCAAATGTCCATTGTGCGCCGCCGGTCACACATTACCACAATGTACAGAGTTTAAGGCATTGGCGATTAATGCTCGCATAAAATTGGTAAAGAAATTGAGGGTATGTTTCAACTGTTTGCGAGGGGGTCATAGTTTCAAGACCTGCACTCAAGGTTCCTGCCATCAGTGTCAGGCCAAACACCATACGCTGATTCACATTACCAAGTTGAGAAAATCGAGTTCAAATTCGAGTATCGAAAAGGTTTCCACCGAGGAAGCAACCTCGTCTCAGAGCTATGTTGCTCATAGTTCCGACGGGTCAGAGCATGTATTCTTATCCACTGCAGTTATCTATGTTATGGATGATAGGGGTAGGAAACATGAATGTAGGGTCTTACTCGATCAGGGGTCGCAGGTGAATATTGTAAAAGAGTCGTTCGCAAGGCGAGTAGGCTTGACGTGGGAATCAGCACGGTCTTTGATTTCGGGCATAGGGGCCACTGACGCAGGTACAAGCGTTAGCGGCCAATTGCAGGTACGGATCGCGTCGCGATGTACAGGTTACCGTGCTAAGTTGCCGTGTATTGTAATGAAGAAAATTACATCGGATATTCCTAACTTTCATGTTTCGAGGCAGGTGTTAAATGTTCCATCGCGTATTCACCTCGCGGATCCTCAATTCGACACACCTCACGATATTGACCTCCTTATCGGGAATGGTTATCTGTGGGATATCATGTGTGTAGGCCAGCATAGATTAGGACGTGGGTTACCGGTCTTATTGAAAACACAGTTGGGTTGGGTGTTCGGGGGACGCATGCAGGGGCCCGTTGAATCCCAGGCGCAGATCTGTGGGTTGATTACTAACGATCAGCTGAATGCTCAGTTGACACGGTTCTGGGAAATAGAGCAAGTTTCGACAAACAATGACGCGAACAATCACCCGTGCGAGGATCATTTCATACAAACGGTCGCACGAGACAGGGACGGGCGATATATGGTGACGATTCCATTCACCGACGGTATTCGGGATCTGGGCGATTCTTTCAACATGGCCGAGCGACGATTTCTTAATATAGAAAGAAAGTTAATTAGGTCACCGATCTTAAGGCAAGAATATCGCGAATTCATGCGAGAATACGAAAGACTAGGGCACATGTCGAAGATACTACGGGATGGTCATTCGGTTGCAAAGCCAGTTTATTACCTGCCGCACCACGCCGTAACGAAGGAGACTAGCACCACGACAAAGGTGCGAGTAGTTTTCGACGGGTCCGCGAAGACGTCCACGGGAGTATCGTTGAATGAGATACAGCGTGTCGGTCCAGTAGTTCAGGACGATCTAATTTCAATTTTAATTCGGTTTCGGCAATTTCCCGTCGTGTTAAATGCTGACATCGCGAAGATGTATCGGCAAATTTTGATAACGCCCGAGCAACGTGGTCTTCAACGTATTCTATGGCGAGAAGAACCCACGCAGCCACTTGCGACATACGAACTCAACACGGTCACGTATGGTACTGCATCAGCTCCGTTTTTGGCCACTCGTGTTTTGCGGCAGGTCGGTTTAGACAATATCGACACATATCCAATTGCGAGTCACATAATTATGCAAGATTTTTATGTCGACGATTTGCTTACGGGCGCGGACACGATAGAGCAGGCCAAAGTGTTAAAACGGGACGTCAGTAGGTTGTTAAGGGAAGCAGGGTTTGAATTGAGGAAATGGGCATCAAACGAGCCAACAGTGGTTGACTCGGTGTCAGACAAACCAAAGGACATTGTTTCGCAGGCGGAGAAGGATCCAAGAACCCTTGGATTGTTGTGGGGCCCACTGACCGATGAGTTGCGAATCGCGATAAAGGATAGAATCACGACACGAGTAACGAAACGCGTTATTTTATCCGAACTCGCGAGAATATTCGACCCGCTCGGCTTAGTGGGTCCAGTTGTCATTAGGGCAAAATTGCTGATGCAGTTGCTGTGGCAGCTGAAGGTGTCCTGGGATGAATCGGTTCCGCAAAGAATTCATGCAGAATTCCAGGATTTCCAATCAGAGTTACAATCTTTACGACAACTTGCGATACCCCGACTCGTACTAGGGCTGAATTCTACACAGGTAGAAATTCACGGTTTTTGTGACGCTTCTGAGAAGGCCTACGGTGCATGCGTGTACCTGCGCACGGTCGACGGGAGGGGTAAGGGTACAACTCATTTATTGTGTGCCAAATCGCGAGTGGCACCCCTAAAAACAATAAGCCTGCCGCGACTAGAACTTTGCGGGGCCTTATTATTAATGCATTTAGTCGACAAGGTGCGAACCGCGTCTCGGATTGCCATAGCTCGGGAGTTTTATTGGAGTGATTCCATGATCACGCTTGCCTGGGTGAAGGGATCTCCTAATCAGTGGAAGACATTTGTCGCTAATAGGGTTACGGAGATCCAAAACTTATCACAGGGCACGTGGTGTCATGTGGGATCCGCTCAAAATCCTGCGGATCTCCTATCGCGAGGAGTGCGGCCGTCCGCTTTGCAAGACTTGGGTCTTTGGTGGAACGGCCCATCGTGGCTGCAACAATGTCCACCCGAGTGGCCGGTCACTGGTCAGTTACCTATCGAGGTGCCAGAGGGAAGGGCCGTAGTGTGTACTGTTCTCAAGGGAGAGACAAACACAAACTCTAGTCTCTTGACGCGATTCTCACACTACGCGCGATTAATTCGGGTGGTCGCGTATTGTTTACGGTTCTGCCATAACGTCCGTACCCGTAAAATTCACAGGGATGCTTCGGGTGCTTTCAAGAACAGCCAGATAAGTAGATCTCCGGAATCTTTTGTTAGGTTATCCATTAGGGACTTAGAGTTGGCCGAGGTTGCCATTCTTAAACTGGTCCAGAAAGCAGCATTTGGTCAAGAGTTAGCAGACTTGCGTTTAGGTAAAGTGGTCGGCTCTTCAAGTACGGTACGCTGTCTAAATCCGGGTTTAGACGACAAAGGACTCCTCAGGGTGGGCGGTAGGCTCGGCAATTCCGAATTAAGATATGAGCAGCAACATCCGGTGATTTTACCAAAGGACAGTCCTATCACTCGAGCAATCATTCGTCGTGAACACGAACGAAGTTTGCACGCGGGATGTGAAGCGGTCTTATCAGCGATTCGGAGGCGATATTGGCCACTGGCCGGCCGAAGCGTCGTCAAGAGTGTTTTAAGAACTTGCGTAAAATGCTGTAGGACAAATCCAAAGGGTGTTGCTTACTTAATGGGTCAACTACCTGCGGCACGAGTCCGAGTTAGAGCTCCATTTTTGAGCACTGGGGTGGATTATGCAGGGTCCCTTTTATGTAAAGGACCAGACGCGCAGTAAAACGGTTACGAAAGCGTATTTATGCCTATTCGTGTGTATGGTAACGAAGGCTGTTCATTTAGAGCTGACGATAGATTTAACGACAGATGCATTCCTGAATTGCCTAAAACGTTTCATCGCGCGCAGGGGGCGATGCCGGGATTTGTACTCTGATAACGGGACGAATTTTGTTGGAGCACGCAATGAAATGCAACGATTGCAAGGGTTTCTTTCAAATAATTCAAATCAGCGGTGCATTTCTGACTTCGCATTAACGGAAGGAATAGATTGGCATTTCATTCCTCCCCACGCTCCTCATTTTGGCGGACTGTGGGAAAGTTCAGTGAAATCCGCGAAGCGTCACTTGTTGAGAGTTATTGGAGAGACACGGTTGACGTTCGAAGAATTATACACGGTATTGACGCAAATTGAAGGGTGTATGAATTCTCGGCCACTCTATCCTATGTCCACCGATCCTTCTGATTTGACTCCTTTGACTCCTGGGCACTTCCTTACAGGAGGCCCATTAACTGATCTCCCTTCTCCTGACGTCACTGACGTCAAAGTGAATCGCTTGAGTCGGTTTCAGTTGCTGCAGGCGATGTATCAGCACTTCTGGAGACGATGGCAACAGGAATACCTCCACCATTTGCAGCAGCGGAACAAATGGAAGGTTGACATTCCGGATCAGTTTGGAGTAGGAACCATGGTGGTCCTCAAGGAGGACAATCTTCCTCCCTTGCGGTGGAAGCTGGGCCGAATCACGGAGCTTCATCCCGGTGCGGACCACGTAACCAGGGTTGTGTCGGTACAGACTGCAAATGGACCTGTGAAGCGGCCAGTCACGAAGATATGTGTCCTGCCCCTGGACGAAGACATCTCAGCAAGCCAAGCTGAACCCGGAGGATCATCAGATCACAACGCAACTCTTTAAAGGAGTTTTATCGAACTCGTCATAACCGTACATGGACATTACTCCGACAGAATTAATATTATGATATTGTTTGTACCTTGTATAAATAGAGTTAAGTTGTTTATAGTCTTCTACTCGTAATATCCTGTCGCGTTACAATTAGTAATTCATGTACATAGTTTAGTGTTGTTGTTGGTTTAGTTATAGTATTTTGAACGAGAGCCGTTCAAGGTGGGCGGCATGTTCTGGAAC